GGGTCCAGCGTCCCTGTACAATGATGAAAATGTATCTGCTGGAAAACGGGTCCAGCATCCCTGTACAATGATGTGAGTGTATCTGCTGGAAATCGGGTCCAGCATCCCTGTGCAGAGACAGCTCCATCTACAAATGTATGCACGATACATGTCAGAAGATGAGAAACCCTATCCATCTGATTTCTGTATATATACAACAGTCCTAAAAACCCTAACAAGATGTGATGTGTGTATGATGTATCTGATGTATATGATGTATGTGATCTATGTGATGTATGTGTTCTCAATCTATCAACATCTAAACACGAAAAGCTAACATTGATGTGATGTGAATGATCATTTATGAATCAAGACTAAGCACGAATCTATATCAGTGATGTAATATGTGTGTGATGTGGACGACAAGTCGATGTGGAAGACAAGTCCAGCATCCTTTATGCAATAACCCGAAACCCTAAGAAAGGGACGATGTGTGTGAACTTTATGAATGATGTAATCTGTGTGATCTAGACGGCAAGTGCAGCTTCCATTATGCAAAAACATGGGGGACTGTCCCTATACCCATTGTCCGCAGAGAGCAGGGGCATTGATTACTTCCCTGTGCAAGGGAAGAGTCCCTCCCATGGGGCAATCAGCACTCCGAAGTTTATTGATATTGCGGGCCGGGCAACACCAATCAACGTCGACTATCCTACTCCAATCCTGAGCCAGACAACGAGGATGAAGGAGGGGAAGGGGGGGGATTTGGTAAGCCTCTTATCTATGTCAACCCCACTCCCCACCACGTCAGCATGCGTCTTCTCTCCCATCATGCTGATGCGCTCTGCCCCGCTGTTGCCGTGGTCGTCACTGCCGCCGTCATCGCCGCTGCCGCCATCATCTTTATTGCTGTTGTTGCCATTCCCAATCCCCACCCCGTCCGCTTGCGGCTTCACTCCCCTCGTGGCTATGATGACCTGAGATGCCCCGACACCGCTCTCAACCCTGCTGCCACCGTGGACACCGTTGCTGCTGTCGTCGTTGTTATTGTTGTTGTTGCTGTTGACATGGTCGTCACTCCCGCCATCATCTTCACTGCCGCCATCGTCATTGTTGTTGTCGCCGCCGCCCTTATTGTTGTTGTTGGTATCATTGACACCGATGTTATTGATGTTGTTGCTGTTCTTGTTGTCCTTGGTATTGTCATCGTTGCTATTATCAATGTTGTTGTTAATGTTGCCATGGTCGTCGCCACCGCCATCCTCTTCACTGCCGCCATCGTCATTGTTGTTGTCGGCGTCGCCGCTGTTGTTGTTGTTATTGTTGTTGTTTCTGTTGGTGTCGTTGACGCCGATGTTATTGATGTTGTTGTTGTTGTTGTTGTTGTTGTTCTTCTTCTTCTTCTTCTTCTTCTTAGTATTGTTGGTGCTGTCGCCGCAATTGTCTTCACTGTCATCCAATCCTCCCTCCTCCAAGTCATCCATATCGCTCTTATCGCCCATCTCTCTCGTTCCCTGCCGAGCCTCTAGCTGGTTGCGTAGGTTGCGGCCCATTATATAGAGGGCATTAGAAACACCCATCCTATCATTCGCCCTCCTCCAGTCGATGTAGGCGTCAAGCCGGGGATCCGGCCCCTCCTCCAGCTCCCACATGATGTCTAGCATCTCCTGGATCCTGTCTGCTAACCACTGCTCCATAGAGATCTTCCCCCCATCAATCTCCTCCCCCTCCTGCCACGGCTGCATGAGCATCCTCACTATCTTCCGCAGCTGCTTGCATCCCTCGTCCAGCATGAAAATCCATTTCCTCCGCTCTATGTTGTAGCTCCCCCATCGAATCCATCTGTCGCCCAATTAGCTGCGCCACTCACACAGTCCGTTGGAACCACTAATCAATCCACAGCTGGCGCTACCCCTGTACATGTGTCGTGGGACATCCACATCTCCAAACAGCAGGTGCCACGTGGCAAAACACCAGTTGCACCTGTCGGGCACGGGCGCAGGCCCAGCAGCCAGGGAGTTGCTGTCTCCCCAAGCGCTGGTCGAGCCGGGGCAACCGGGCCTTGCCGGTCAGCCGGCTTCAGGGCGCTAGCCTTAGCGCAGCTCCCGGGCCTCAGGACCCTCCTTCAGCCCTGTGCCCGCCCTAAGTGAGGGTGGGCCTGATTATTCACAAGAAGCCAAATTTGACGATTTTCCATACTTGGGTATTCGGAAAGTTGCAGCACACCAGTTGGTTGTGCAGAAACGTGAGCCTCCCAGCTCTATCCAGAAGCATGGGCTATACACTGCACAGTTGGCCCGGGTGGTTATGCCCTGGGCACACGCTTTCTGAGGCAGATACATTACGAAGTATCCACGGGCCTTGAAGAAAGCAGCATTGTTGTAGTATCTACCCAGAGGCCCGTTCAAATGCAGAAAACCGACGAAGTCTGGAAATACTGGGGTGTCCAACTGTAAAGGGCCCAGGCCCTCAACTGCACAGCTGGGCCTGGGCGCAGGCACTGAGGCCCGACCGGAAGCTACTGGAAGCTTCCCAGCCAGGGCACACGCAGCCAAACAGAGGCTGCCACTTCCATATAGGGGAAGGTGCAGCCAGGGCCGGGCATTCTGGCCCATGCAGGCATTGCGGTCACACTGCTGCGTTGCTGCACGAGAGGCTGTGTGCTGCATTAGTGGCCAGGGCGCGTGCGGAGCGCAAGCAGCCATAGCCGGGCTGCAGGGCGCTAGGGGGTGAGGGTGATCGGTGGTCCTCAGGAAGGAGGCGAATGTGGGTCGTCAGGGTCTGAAGAGGGGAGACGAGATACGTACCTGGTGCATGAGGGAGGTCGGCTATGGTGTTGACATCATGTACATCGGTCTTCAAAGTCGAAGTGAGCCCGTTGCTTGAATATGGCTGTAGTAGGATAGGCAAGTAGTGTAGGCTGGGCGCTGGGCGCCGGACAGAGAGGAGCGACATTGGATACTGTGTTGGTGTGGCCTGAGGGCTTGAACATTGGCTCATGACTTCATTGTATTGCTCTTATCTGGAAGGAATCTCGGTGCGTTTGTGCTCTCTGCGTGTACACGACTACTTGGCCATCTGTGTGATTTCGCAACTTGGCTTTCTGTACATCGTTCCCACTCATATTCCTTGCACATTTATTTTTTATCTTAAAATTAACAAGGAATTTCGAGGTGGCCCTCGGCCAAAAGTGGTTTGTATTGCAATTTTACACAACATATATTTTTTTTGGAGGTTTTGTTTTTTTATTTTTTTTATTTTTTTTATTTTTTTAAATATTTTGCGTTGGGATTGCCCGAGACCCTGCCCGGTCCCTGCCCTGTCCGGGCCGCCCGGGAGGGTACCCGAGCGACCTTCCCCCAGCCGGGCCGCCCGGGGACTAACACAGTTTTTTGTATTTTAAGTTTGGTCAAGAATTTCGATTGGACCCTGAGGCAAAAGTTGTTTAGTTTATTGTTCTGCATAACATAGTTTTTTTGGAGTTTTTGGAGTTCTGTTTTTTTCTTCTTTTTTCCGCTGGGACCTTCCCTGGTCCTTGCACGGACGGGCCGCCCGGGAAAATAAGGTGATCCGGGTGGCCCGGCTGATAGCCTAGATAAATAGTAAATAGTAAAATCCTAACTCTGCTAAATAACAGAACCAGATAGTCTGCTGTTGAGACTTGATGCCCTTGTATTTTCTATTATTCTGTTGGTGACACTGTGGCAAAATCGGCTAAACACTTGCTCAGGAGTCAAGAATCATGCTTTGGAGTCGCACAATTCGCAGGAGGGAAGGAGGGGTGGGGGGAGGGGGGAAGGGGGAAGGGGGGGGGTCAGTCTCTTGCTTCTATGTCATGCGCAGGCTGTGAAAAGAATGTATATCAGTAAATTAATACAAAATTTTAATAAATCTATTAATAAAATTCCATATTGTAAGTGTGTGTGTGTGTTTTTTTTTTGTTTTTTTTTTTTTTTTTTT